GGGAGCATGGGGCCAGCGGGGGACCGCCCCATTGGCCCCGTGCTTCCTGCGCTCCCTCCTTGGAAGCGCAGCCACAGCCCTGGCGTTGTGGCCACACTTCCAAGGTGGAGGTGCCCATCTCAACTAATGGAATAGTCGGTGCAAGTTGTATCATGCTGGTGTTTCTTTGAAGCACCCATCGGAGGGGCCAAAGGTCTCGTCTCTCACAGCTACGCAGCCCCCTTTAGCAACCAACCTGTGACCTCCTCAGCCGACGGAAGCGGGCTTGTTTGACCCCGCTGACCGCCCGCTGCTGCAGTCTGACCCTTCGCATCCGCGCTTTTCAGCCGGGGGCCCGGGGCCCCCTGGAGGTCCCCAGTCCAAAGGGCCTGCACCTCCATTTGCAGTATTTTAGAGGCCGTAAATCTATCGCGTGACCCCGTCCCGTGGCACAGGGCTGGCACCCGGCTGACTGGCTGGTTGGGCCCAGAGCGTCTCTTGTCGTTCCTGGACGCTGGCGCAGCCAACCAGCCGTCTCCGCTGCCAGCTCTTCTCGGGCTCAAGCTCCGGGAGCCCCCGAGTCTGGCTGCTGGCTCTGTGCTGCCCCCCACTGCGGGGGGGCAGGCGGAAAGGCCAGCAATGCTGAGGGTAGCGGGTGACTGCGTGACCGGGAGCAAGGGGGCATGCAGGGGATGCTGGAGGAGGGGCTGAGGCCAGGCCCAGCCACAGGCCTGTGTTAGCGAACAAGTTCTGGCCCCGGACAGGGCAGATCGGCCTGGCTGCGGAGAGTCTCGAAGCGAACCCCTCCCTGGCCCTCTCCCCGGGGCCTCTCAGCGCCGGCCGCCCCTACCTGTCTGGCATTGACGTGATACGCCGAGAGCTGACGGAGTGCGGCCGAAGCCGCGTCGCCGTCCCCCGAGAACAGCTCCGCCATCCCCTCCCCGATGCTGCTGTAGGGGATGGGCACGCCCAGCAGCAGGGCCAGCGTGGGCACCAGGTTCACCTGCGGGACGGTTTCCGGCTCCTGGGGGAGGACAAGGGACGGGTCAGTCGGCAGCAGGACCCGCAGGCCAGAGGGGACGAGCGTGCTGGGGGAGGCCAGGCTGGGGGTCTTGGGCTCAGACCCACCCTGCCCCTTTGGGGCCCCATTCCACCGGGCCTGCCAGGCAGTCCCCAGGGCAGGGCTGGGGGGTGAATGTGGCCCTGCTTGGGGCACCCCTGGGCCTCCTGCTCCGAGGGGTGTGAAGCTAGAACCACCAGCGGCCACGTGCCGGCTGCCAGGAAGGACCGAGCTGTTCCTGCCGCCTTGGGATCCCCGGGGCCCAGGCCTAGCGCGGCTGCTGGTTCACTTGGCTCCTCTCGGCTTCTCTGCCACCTCCCTGCTGGTGCAGGGAGGGGACCCAATCTCAGCAGGGGACCGCGCCCCAGGGCGAATGGGACGGGAAAGGCCACCCACCTCAGTCCCCCGGAGGGGAGGGTGCAGACAGCAGAGGAGCAGGACAGAGGCGTGGGGGTCAGGAAACGGTCCAGCTCACATTTCCTTGCTCCTGGCCAGCCGCCTGCCTGCTCCTGTCACCCTGGGGCTCACCCCCCCCCCCCCCCCCCCGGCGCTCGCCTTTCCCCCAC